GCTGAAATATTGTTTTTCTAAATTTAACACTCTTCTTCAGAGGCCAATGTCTCTTCAACAATACATCCCAGAAAAAAAGTTATATAATAAATCGGCATATTTTAAGATCCTCTGCCTGCTCTGTGTCAGAGTTATGAAACACCCTGTATAATAAATTGATAAAATGAAAGTATAAGAAGAAAAGGTAACGACATTTTTTAAAGCTCATACAAATTTGGGAAAATATGGGAAAATCGTAAGGTTGCAATAATATAATTAACGTTATTTATATATTTTTATTATAAAAAAGGATCATAATCAGTGCATGCGTTCACTGTTTTCAAGCAAGCGACGCATTTTTCAACCCTCGAGGACCACATAAATCACGCTCGTTTATTCACTTCCAGAAATTTCAACAGTGAACTATGGCTCGTTTGGGTGTAAACGGCCATTTGCTTTGACTGAATGTGGAAAACTGCACGATTTTTGCGGTCGCATTTCAAACAATTAGCTATAAGGCACTGCATCTAAATATAAAACGAGGATTGCACACATTAAACGTCCGCTTGCCAACAGTGAGCGCGTCCGGTGTCTAGGGTAGACATAAAAGACTTTTTTATACAGATCTCCTAAAAACCAGATATAACAAATATATTCTTATAAATATTTATACCTAGCTTAAGTTGGTTACGACTTAATAACATATAAACTGACTGAATTCTTAACAAGTTATGTATATCAAGACAATAAATAAAAAAATATGTGTATATAAGTGTGTGTGTATGTACGCAACGTACCTATATACGTACATACTTGTCTGTATGTACATATATCTTATACGTTTGCTAAATATGCATGTAAGCATTCTAAATTATGGAATGTGATTTACTTATCAATAAAATATCGTGGTTTACTTGGCTGCTATCGACACGTTTGATCGGAATTATTAGCAAACATTCATTAAAATATCATTAAGTACATGAATGGGAATTTAAAAATTTAAAAAATATGTGTTATTTATATGATGAGGTTATACAAAGGGGTTTCCAATAAAACTTGGTCTGAAAATATTAGAATCATTTACCATAAAACATTATTTAATAAAATCTTGAAGGAAGCTGATATAATTTCAATAAATTTGTTTAAATAAACTTTCTATAAAATCCAATTTAAAAATCCTGATGCTTATTTACTAAATACTGTATAAAACATAAATAAATAATTAATAATTTTATAGATAATACTTAATACTCAAATGTCGTTAAATTATATATAACGTCAAACAAACAACATGTTCCATAATAGACAATCAAATGTCATCACTCTGTATAAAAAATAAAACTTTATCTTTAAAAATAAGCTGCCAAAGATTATTTTAAATATTTATTAAGAGAAAATTTTAACTGAAAGTGATTTTTTGCCTTCTAGGGGATGTATTCATGTATATGTTTTTTTTTCTTATAATTCTCAAAACCATAAATATTTAAAATTGAAAGAAAGGATGTTCTAATATTTTCATATACACCACTAATAAATACATAGAATAAGAATAAAATTAAAACATAAATAAATATAGATAATTTTCGTACATATACAAAAATCCCCTTTCAAGCTTTATTTTCCACTGTTGAAGAAGATTTACATAAATGCACCAGGGTCATGATAACTAAATTGTACCTCTTTATATCTTTTGATAAATCAAATTTTTTTTTTATATCTCGTGATTTCTCTTTCATCTGTACTTCCTATGGGTTTTATTGCCACTGTTCTTAAATAATAATGGACCCACATATGAAAATTTGGAAAAGAAGTTGATGACAAAGTATTTTTTCCAATTTTTTTTGTCCATTTTTAATGTGAAAAACGTTAATTTGCGAAGCGAAATGTCACAAAATGATTTCAATGTTCCTGACATTCCTTAACTTGAGAATAGAGGTTGTTATTTCTTTAAATTTTCACAAAATCCTCAATTCCTCACCTCAATCAGATATTAGTGTTCGATTTGACAACAACTGAAGAAAAATAACATGAACCTATTTCCAGCCTTACCAAAGCTGACTGACCCTGCTATTTACATCTACTTTATAAGCTACGCTATCAGATAAGTCAAAGTAAGGTCAGACGCTTGCCCACAAATTTTGACGTTTGTAGACCATCAGAATCCAGGGGGCATTATTATATTACATTTTTTTTATTACCGTATCATAACAATTTAAACAACGAATTGCCTCTTTTTGAGGCACCTTTTCTTAGATTTGATAGCGTCGATGTGGATAATGTCAACAATTAAATGGACCCTCTAACCTTTGTATGGAATGTTTATATCAGTATCAGTACTGACTGAGAATTATTCCCCTCACTTGAAATTTCGAGGTTATGTTTGTACTTGTTTTAAAAGGTCAAGAGTATAGAAGATGGCTTTTAATGAAGAAAGGCAAGTGTTAGTAGGAGCATATGTCGCAATTTGATCGCAATTCACAATATTATCTCTGATATTAACAGTCCAGGAAAGTTAGACATAAAAGGAGGGAATAAGCAAACTTTTTACTGTGGGTAAAGCAGCAACATACAGCGTTTTGAGATACAGACATATACAATAATATATGACTTTTCGCGTTTTTTTACCAAAATCTGCCAATATCTCAATGAAGATGCATTTTTTCAAAAAAAAGTGCCAAATAAAAGTTGTTCAAAATTAAATTTATGAAAACTTCGATTTTCCCAATAGTTTTCCCGTACATGTATTTTTTAAATAAAGTACAAATTATCTGAAAATTAATATTTTGGAGCCAAAATAATGGTCAATTCATTTTTAAATAACAAAAGTTAATCTAAAAGAAGAAAATTCTTGGAAAATCTTATATAGTTTTCTGAGGTTTGAACATTTATGAGCATCAAACATATCATTTTATAGGTTTCCCATGGTTATGAATAAATTATGCACTTTTTAATATTTTCCAGAAAAATCTGTTTTCTTTGAAATTTGTAATATAATGAAATTGAAAATTTAAATTTGTGACAATAGGAAAGGAATTTCTTGGAGCTGCAAAAGTATAATAAAAAAAATTACATCGATATATATATTTTTTATTTATTTATAATTAAAAACACAACTTTTTTATTTATTATTTTCAACTGTAACACTGCTTCATATATCGCAACTACCAACTACCAATATCTTCAGAGAGATATTGGTAGTTTAAGGGCTAGTGCAATAAGAACACTCTGTGTTGTTGTCAAGCGTTTGCAAATGTTTATTTCCTTTCTCAAGACATAAACGTGAGATTAAATTAGAAAACCATAAAAAAAGAGAAATATAGAAACATTGTTAATATTTTTGTACATTCACTAATTTTAAAAAACAATTACAACTATGGTCACATTATTTAAAACAAATTTTCGAGTCAATGTAATGACCTTTTGGTAGAAATTTTGTTACCACCAAATTTTTTATATTGTACATTACTTGGCAGTTGTTTTTATTATATACTTTCGATTTTATTATACAAACAAATATGATATTTACATAGTTAAGTAAGGAGACAGCTTTTGGTACAAATTTCATCACCACCAATTTTTTTTTTTTATACTAAAACCTCAGTCACATCCGTTCTACAATATGGTGTAAAAAGCATGGCTCCTTTTGATTGTATTGACTCGAAAATTTGTATTTTCAAATTAGTAAATGTACGAAAATTTTAACAATGTTTTTATATTTCTCTCTTTTAATGGTTTTCTAATTTAATCGCAGTTGACAGAAACTAAAAGAAGCTAACATAACAATAGTTGGCCTTGGATATTAAACAAAAATTGTATTGTTTGAAAGGAGCCATCATTATTGTGCTGTCAATGTGGTATTTCACAGCTGTTGTATTTGAATATGTATAAAAATAAAGTTTTAATTAAGTTGTCCAGATGATTTTCAGCCTTTTGCAGATCCTTGGGCACATACTACCAGTTGTTTTTAATTTTACTAAGTTATTTTATAGAAACTCTGGATGTGGAAGAGGCTTAAAAATTAATCAACTTTTTCTTGTAGATTGATTATGGAACTGATACATCTTAGCAACTGAATTAAAACGTTATTTTTTATACACATTCAAATACAACAGCTGTCAAATAACACAATGACAGTACAATAATGATGACTTCTTTAAAACAGCACAATGTTTGTTTAATTTCCAAGACCTACTATTGCCATGTTAACTTCTCTTAGTTCCTGCCGACTACAATTATTTTCCTTGTTTTTGCCGATTGTTCGAAAAAGGCTACTCCAATAAATAAATGTGATATAACATTTTCTATTTAGAATTTGAAGGTTTGTCAAATTATTTATTTATTTATTACTGAAGAAATATGGCAACACCGGAAATAATTATTTGTAAATTTTTCTTAATCAAGTTATTTCCTACAACTTTGCATTTGGACGTACTACTCTATCACTTTAAATAAAAAAGTTGGCCTATATGTCAGGTTTTAAAAAAATAGCAGTATATATGTCTGGATCTCAAAACGATGTATGTTGCTGGTGGTTGCATGTGTATAACGTAGTTTTATGACCTGAAAACCTACACTTTTCTATAAAAAAATCTTAGAGTAATAAGTTCGCTCATTTTTTCCTTACTTTCCTGAAATATAATGAAATATTATAATTTAGTTAATTAATGATGGAGATTTAATCAATCTGTCGACTATTATAATACGGAACGTGTGTACATCAAAATAAAAACTAGAATTGACTTAGTAATTTTTTTATTCTACATCATTTATCCAAGACGAGCGATTTATCTCAAAGCTGAAACTTTAATTACCTGCATTTTACAAGAGATATTAAACTTCTTAAAATAAGATGAAAAAAGTGAAAATTTTAAATGTCTTTGTATTTCCTTTAATTTAATGTATTATATGTATTTATGCAAAAATGTTTAATTCAGTATTTTTCATCGGTACCATTATTAAATAAATCCTTATTTTCCATTTAAATATTTTATTTCCTTTTAAGGAATAGTAGAAGGAAAAATTTATTTATACATTTTTTCCATCATATTTATTCATTTTGTTAATCTTTTGTTAAAATCTCATATTAAAATGCCAACTAATGCTAGGTATACTTTTTATATAAATTTTGAATTAGGACACAAAAATTTAATATTACAGTGAAACACCTAATACACATAAGAAAGCTAGGACAAATTTAAAACTAGCAGCCTTTTTCATTTTTTTCAACTACCATTTTCGCAATACTAATCGCCACCCGTTGCATAGAAATAAAACACTGTTATTTTCTCCTCAGTTGAGTCAAATCGGAAGCAAATATTGTCAATTAAATTCATTCGTAAAATATCATGAGAAAATTGAGAACACGATTTTTTTTAAGTATAAAAAATTTCAATGCATTGTAACTTAGTTTCCTTAAGTCTAAGCTGATTGAGCAATTAATTAAAGAAAAATATAAAAGACCATCCGCTTGCCAATTATTAAAAAAACAATGGTGACTCGCAGCCCGACCCTGTATAAATTTTATAATTGGAATACATGTATATATGCATACACATGTAGTGTGTATATAAATGTAACTATAAAGACACGCACCTGTATTTTATAAATGTAAAATTCCATCGTCCTTTGTAAGGGACTCGTCGAAGGCGCCCCCAGTTAGATCCACTATCTCGTCTTGGTCATATTTATCTTCAGGATCGGAGCCGGCCGTCGTATTAGACTGATGTGATCCGCTGGATAACTGGGAGTTTCTACTAAAACTGCCCCTTCTGACGGGACCCACCGTTCTCTGGTTCGCCGGTTTGACCGTTATTATCAGGTTCGAACTATTGGCTACCATCATGTCCGTGACTTGATCCAAAGTCTTCCCAGATACTTCGATACCGTTGACTTCCAACACCTCGTCGTTGACAGCTAATAATCCGGTGGATTCGGCTAATCCCCCGGGAACTAGTCGGGAAATGAATATTCCTGGTATTTTCTCTAATCCTAGAAAAGTGTCGACGTGAACTGTTACAGTTTGTAAGAATTATTTACGTGAGCTTACCGTTTTGAGTGACTTTTACACTGGTCCCGTCACGGATATAAAATCCCAAAGGTTTGTCGGAACCATGCTTCAATAACCGGACTCTTCTACAAGTTTCGGGGACAATATCTACATCTATAATGGCCGATACTTGTCGAAAGTCGTGTGGATTCGATATGGGTAATATTTTGGTTTTAGCAGGTGTTCCTCCCAGGATAGTAGATATTAAATTTCTGGGTTTTAACGTGCCATAGCCATTGATTTCTTCTAAACTATTACCTAAAATAGATCCATATTGACAAAAAAAATGAAATATGTTCCCAATATCAAAAAATTCATATAATTATTAGTCTTATGTATTTTAAAAGTAAAATTAATATCCATTCACCTAGACTATACTTACTGAAAATTCATAAAATACCTTTTCTTTGAATAATGATCCTTAATAATGGTTTTGCGTTAATTAGTGCCCTTCTCAAATTATCGTCGTTGTTTATAGGCAATAAATCCTGATCGCTAGGGTCAATATAGGAAACTAAGAAAGAAATGTCTTTCAGATTATGTAAACTTTCAATTAGACCTCGAAAATCTTCAAATTTTGGTTGAGAATTTCTTTCCACGCAAAATCTCCGAAATTCGGCATCAAACTATAACAAATACTTCATATTTATTTCAAACGATACAAAATATAATTTCCTGGATATTTCAGTAAATGGATGAGTTGCTATGTCTTTTACCTTCATTTATATTTAAATCTAAATAGAAAGATACAGCGAAAGAATAATGACATTATTTAAAATGACCGAGAAAGTGCAGAAATTTGAATACAAAAACAGCTTATTCTTTTCTCAATATGAGAAAAAAATATCTCTCTTATGTTAGTCATAAATGTTATCGATACATAAAAGGCAATTTCTTAAAGGTTTTTACCTTTACAAACAAAGACCTGTTCAAATTAGGCTATATTTATTAAAACGTAATTATCAGTTTTACAAAATATGACAAAAGACCATACTTTAGAATATATATAAACAGATATATAGAAAATATTTTAAAAAATGTACAAACTTACTTTACTTTTTACTTCTATTTTGCTGCTGTCAACCAAAGGTTTCATAACAATCTTGTTTTTCGACATTTTTTTTTCATTGAATGTGTAAGTGTATAATGCTTTAATGTTTTTTGAAGCTGTACACAATATTTTATTGATTATGGAAACTAAAAATTCGTAAAAAATTATAAAAATTATAAATTTCTCATAATTACATGAAACTATATGACAAAATCTAGTAGTACCAACATCAGCACATAAAATTTTTGACATTCTTTGACAAACCGTCAGTCAGAGAGAAGAACTGTTGCCAACACAAATCCAATAGATCATTTTCACATATCTATGATCTACAATCTGAAACATAAACAATTTTTGTAGTCGCCGCGCGCCATTATTCCATGGCTAGAAATTGGCCTCAATGATTTGGGATCGAGGGGGATTATCCCTCTTTATCCTGCCTCATCTCGTGTAGGCCTGGACAGCCTTCGTAGGTGCGCCCCATCCGTCGTCTACCCCGACCGCAAATGCGGCCGGTGTAGTCGCTTTGTGGGACCTCCTTTTGTCCTGGCTGGGCCCCGCCGGCTAGGGCCCTTCTTGCTTCGCCGGCTCGTCTGTGTAAACCCCGGGGGTTGTGTCATATTTATGTGTGGTATGGTTGGGTAGGACAGTGCGGCTATGCAGCCTGGGATGCGCTTTGCTAAGGTGGCCCTTAGGCTAGCGCGGGAGGGGAGGGGTTAAGGAGGGTATGGGGGGTGTGTATGTGTGTGTGTGTGTCGTTGTCTTCGTTTCTTGATCCTTTCTGTCTCTGAAACAGAAAAGGTTAGCGGGCGGGGGGGGGGGGGGGGTCGTTGGGGTGGTCACCCGGGGTCAAAAAGTTGGTGTCTCGGTCTTTTGTGTTTGTCGGTCACGTCGGGTACGTAGTCAACGGCTTGCCTGAGGAGGGGATTGTCATTTTTTTTTTTTTTGTAGTCAAGACTTGCATATTTATTTATTTTATATTCAATATTTGTGGAGTTTAGCTTAGCATTGCCACTATAACGACTAAACGAAAGTAAGTAAGTAAGTAAAAAAATGTAAAGGAAATGATATTGATTTGGGCTACAAGTAATAATGGATTTAGATTATCATTAATCAATTTGAGAAAAAAAAGTTACGCAAAACCGTGATCATTGACCATTATCTGTGATTCTAGAGATAAACGCTAACTGAATATCGAATTAATTGAACATTGCCATAAAATCAATGGAAATAATACTGTGGCATTGATTGAAGTAAAACTCTACTTTCTACCATAACAATAGATAGGAAGAAGTGAAATCTCAATCAATTTAAAAAATAAAATTTGGTATATATAAAACGGGAAAAGAACGAAGTAGCCGCAATATCAGAATTTCGAAAGACACGTACAGCGGTTTTGATTGGATGATTGGACACGTAGCGATTTATAGTTGGCAGGTCTGTTCTGATTCTGGATGACATTAGTAAGAAAACCGAGCCGTCAAAATCTCCAAACAGAAACAAGTCGCTTTACTTAATACGTTGTAACTGTTTAGGTTTAAATTAAATTATGTAAAAATGAGATCTCTTAGTATATCTGTGTTAAGTTTAACTTTGACTTTTATAGTTATTGCAAATGCATACTATCAAAAGAAGCAATTCTATCCATCTGTTGTATATATTACAAAATCTAATCCAAGTATGGCTGTAAGTTATCTTTTTTAATCCAAATTGGACAGTATTTAAACAATTTACTTGCAGGTCATTTATATACAAGCTTTTATATGTGTGTGGATAAGTGGAAAGATCATGAGAAAAATATTCTTTGGTCAGTTACGTAGTACAGAATTCGAGGTGAGTACAAAAATAAGATTTTCTTTCACTGCAGCAATTAATATTAACAACTTATAAGTGTCAGAATAAGCTTTAATGAACTGAACTTATGACGAAGAAACATAATAACAATTGTTTGATATTTTTTTATTATGTTACCCATGGTTATCTTTTACTAAGAGCCACAAAGTTCCTTGTTTCATTAAACGGCATTTGTAAATAAAATTTCTGTTGAATATAGCATTAAAAACTTGTTTCAGCATTTAATGGAAAGGTCTTGGTACGCTGTAACAGAAACATGTTTAGCTTTTACAGTGTTTAGAGATGACTTTAATCCTAAATTTGTTGCATTATTTACCCTGCTACTTTTCCTCAAATCATTTCATTGGCTAGCCGAAGACAGAGTGGATTATGTAAGTAGTAATAAAATAAAGATTAGAAAGTCAATAACTGTTTTTTATTTTTTAATTTGTAGATGGAGAGGAGTCCAGTGATAAGTTGGTTATTCCATATAAGAGTCCTCTGTTTATTATTACTGCTAGGATCCATGGATTTGCATTTTATCCAACATGCTTATCAGTCAACATTATCAAAAGGGGCCTCTGTTCAGTTGGTGTTTGGATTTGAATATGCAATCCTATTGACAGTCGTTATTAACATCGCTATAAAATATGCATTGCACTCTGTAGATCTTAATAGCGAAACGCCTTGGGATAATAAAGCTGTGTTTCTATTGTATACCGAATTAGTAATGGGCTTGATCAAAGTGATATTTTACGTTGCTTTTGTTGCAATCATGGTCAGAATTTACACTTTACCGCTCTTTGCGTTCAGGCCCATGTACTATACGATAAGGAACTTCAAGAAAGCCTTCAGCGACGTAATATTATCGAGAAGAGCTATTCACAATATGAACACTCTGTACCCCGACGCGACCCCAGAAGAATTATTGGCGGCCGATAACGTTTGCATCATATGTCGCGAAGAAATGACGTCCGCTTCCAAAAAGTTACCCTGCAACCATATTTTCCACACTTCTTGTCTACGCTCGTGGTTCCAAAGGCAGCAAACGTGTCCCACCTGTCGACTCAATATCCTGCGAACCTCCACGAATAATAATAACAATGCTCGGCCGGCTCCAGAACAGAGACCCGCCCCTCCGAATCCGCAGAATGCTTTTGTGAATCCGTTCGTCATCGGCCCGAATCCGTTTGAGTTGTTCAATCAACCCAACTTGAGGAATCTTCCGCAAATGCCGGAGATGCCTAATCAGCAGCAACCCGCTGCAAACGCAGCAAGTTCTAGCACTACTACGCCACAGACCCAGTCAAATATGCCACCTTTACTTTTTCCCCATTTTCCGTTTATACCNAATAATGCTTCCAAACTGATTTCATTTTTTTTGTTTGTAAATTAAACTATTACATAGCTTCAGGTGCGAGTCTTGAATCTTAAAATTGGTGCAATTGATATTGCTATTGGTAGAAAATGATGAACGCACAATACACATTGCATTTAATGTGTCATCGCCTATACGATTCCTTTTCTTCGTTTTTATATCATTTATGACGGAAAATATACGCTCTGCATCCGCATTAGAATGAGGTAATGTTAAAATAATATGTGCCAATGCTCCTATATTTTTAAATTTATATGTTTCTGTAAAATCCCTGAAATTTGAAATTTTATCCCACATTTCGTCAAGGGAGAGGTTAGATAATTTTTTAATATCATTTTCATCAAAAGAATATGGTAAAGATCGCCATTCTAAGGCAATCGCTGAATAATCGAAATGTTCTTTATATCTTTCGGAAAGTAACGGAATGTCTTTCAATGTCATCCTGTTTCTTTCAAAGGCAACTTCGGGTTTCAGAAACTTCATTTCAGAGTATAAATTATTTAATAAAGGAAGTCGTACCAAAACCTCCTTAGCGAGAGTGATGTAGAACTCTAAAACATGTTTTCTAATATCGTTGGATACAGTTTCTGGCAGCGACTTCAGCATAGTTTCACACTCAGGCCCAGTATACACATTTTCCAATAGTAAGTAATTTTGAGGAATTAGTAAATTTGTAATACAACTGCCACTAAAACAGGTAGATAGTACATCACATTTTATAAAATTTTGGCATAACTCCAAAAATAATTTCATAGAAAGTTCTTGAAGGTCTTGTATCAACACTTTTTTAGATTGAAAAAGTGCATTAAATGTATTCATGTAATTTAAAACAAATTTTAAAAATAAAAAATAACTTCTGATACATTTGTCCTGTAATTGTCTCAGAATAGTCTCCGCTGCCAGAAGTTTATCCTCAAATACTGCCGCAGTAAAGAACACAATAAGTGCATCCCAATTTAATAAAATTCGACAAACACATTGATGCATAGATAACCATCTAGTGCTGGATAACTTCAATATTTTACGTTTCTCTTCGTGCAAAAATTCCTGAATTTCAGATAACTGATCGCATCGTTTTGAACTCCCAGAAATATATCCGTATATTTGTCGAATTAAGTCCTCGGGTCCTCTTGGCAACTGCTGGCATGCCTTACTTGCTACGATTGCAGCAGAGTGACAAATACACTTTAAAAGTAAGACATTGGGAACATCATCTCGTAAGTGAGAATAAAAAGAATTCATTTCACCGACCATGACATTTGCAGCATCTGATGCCATTCCTACAATATTTTTCAATGGAATTTCTTTGTCTTGTAGACATCTTTTAAAAGTGTTATATATATTTTTTGCAGAACCATTTCTTGCATTTATATGGCAAATTTCTAATAACTGTGTAACGATTTTTCTTGATTCATTTATGTAACGAACAATACACAACTGTTTGCTGGTACTGATATCTGTTGACTCATCACAAAGAATTGAAAATGTTTGCTAAAAGAAACAAATATAAGATAACTTTTAATTGACTTAGGTATTTTTAAAGTTCAGCTTACCTTTTGCAATATTTTAATTAAATCATTAATTTCCACTTTTGCTACAACATTAGTAATTAACCCAGTCCATTTCGTTCTTTTTAATTCTAGGTCTGTTACAATTTTGGAGTCAGTTACATTGCGCTCTATCAACTCCACTAAGTGGTCTACATTTTGCAACGCAATATTTTGTTCTGCAAAAAAAGTTGTAATTGCTAATTCCAAACAAAGAACATTGTTCCTATGTTCTATTGCCTTTTTACGTGCAGTCTCATTAACAGTAAAATCATTTAATTTTTTGTTCTGCTTAATTTTTGTAACATTTTTTAGATGACACTGGGATTCGGCATGTCTTTTTAATTGAGTTCTACCGCATGACATTATTTTGTTACAACATTCACATTTAAATTTCGTTTTGTCTGGGGTGGGTTTCAACCAACCTGAAAAATTTTTGTCTTGTAGCCATTTGTTACAAAATAGTTTTGGTTTTGTTTCATATATTTTTTTAGATGTGTGATTTCCATCATCACAGTCACTATCACTCGAATTCATTCTTTCTGAACTTTAATAACTTTGTTTTAACAATTAATTTCCTGAATTTTTTTTTTTTAACTTACTGCTTACTCATCACCAGAATATCTAACTTAGCGTTTTCTTACAAAACAAAATGAAAACAAACGTTAAAATTTGAAATCTGAAATCACGGAACGATAACAGACAATCACTGACGTATGATAGTCACGAAATAAAAGAATGGTAGAGAAACGAACGCTACCTTTGCCTCTGTTCAGGATCAAAGTTAATTTCATGGGCTATTTGGAAATAGCTTGTCACGACAACGAATCAAAGAACGTTTTACTGATCACTGATCAGTGATCATTAGTGATGGGACTACTCGAATGAAAATTATCGATTATATCGATTATGAAAATCTCTCGAGATATCTCTAGTGGTTATATAGAATCATTCGATTATTCGGATACGAATGACAGTGGCCACAGCGTTACTANTAATTAAACACTACACTCTACTATGCAAATACTTCGATTCCCATAAAAATGAATACTTCATGCAGAAAGCTGCAAAATTCTATCTACAAAACACCTCGTGAAATGACAAACTGAAAAGTAGAATGTAATAAAACGAAACAATGACATATTTAGCCATTTGTTTGTTTTCTGCCCACTTAAGGCCTTGTTATCATGTCACAAACTAAACAGTGTTTTAAAAAAATAGTAAATACTTTTTACTTAAAAATTTTAAGTGATTTTAAAAATTGTTTCAAATCCATAGATCAGTATTTTTATTTATGTTTTATTATGTACATTTTTAAAACGGGAAAAATATTTATTTTTTTGTTTTATTTATAGTTAATGCCTGTCCACATACAAATTTTGTTAATATTTAATAAATCGTGTAAAAAATATAAATGCTTCTACAACACTTGAATTTTTCCAATTAACAAAAAAATATAGTGACTTTCAAATAACATGTTGCAAAGCTACAATAAGCAAATCTTTACATTTGTTTTCGTTGTAGTCTCTCTCTGATACTCCATTAGTTTTATACAGTCTGTTGGGGTGCCTCAAGGATCCGTTTTAGGTATTTACTTTTCTTAATGTACGTAAATGATTTACCTACTTGTGAACCAAATAGTGATTAGTGATGTCATTTTATTTGCTGATGACACCACCATAGTTAATTGTAGTGACTGGAACGTTCAATCTTTTTTCCAAAACAATTGCCAACAAAAGTACTTTTAAAAATTGGTTTAATACAAATAAATTTACTTTAAACACTCGATCACTACATTTTTGTCTTTGTACCGTTCATGTGAAGCGTTCGATTCTTTAGCAAGAGTTAAATTCTTGGGGACAAGATAAAAGTACAATCACATGTACTTTTATCTTGTTTTTACCTTTATACATGTGTTTGTAACATTACTTTTATGGCTTGTGTAAGCATTTTATTATGTATTTAAACACCAGTAAATAATAATATGTAATAATAATAACAGGCAACAGTGATAAGCTCACACATGCAACCAAGTTTGGGAGCTGCCCAGTGACGGAGTAGACAAGATAGTCTATGTTCAGTTTAAAAAATAAATTATAATTCGACTGTTTATTTGATTTAAAAATTAATAATTTCCTGTTAGAATTTTGGACAACACGCACTATTCCTAAAAAACTGACTCCCTGCTTAAAGTTGCACCTGTTATAAACAATATCTATCACATTTCAGAATTGATTATTAATTCACTATTTCTACAGGTATTGCTTGATGCGGCAGTGATAATGATGCAACAGTATAATACAACGGCTACACTTTCTGCACGTGTGCCTCAAGGTGTTCCGCCTCAAGCACCCGAAACTAATCAGCCTCAAACGAATAATGCGACAAGCGCCAGTAATCACAATTCCAAAACTGTTTCAACTGATCTGCCTGCTTCTTTATATGAATCCCCAAAAGAGACGAAAAATTCCTCAGTCGCAACTACAAGCGACGGCGATTCTAAAAGTTCAACGGTAGATCCCTCATCTAAGCCATGTACTTCATCTGAACCGAGCGTGGACACAAACGAAGTTACTCCAGAAGAGGAAGTGAGGAGACGTAGATTACAAAGATTTCAGTTACAAAACGAGCATTAAAAAATTATATATTTCCAATATTTAAAGATAGAAATACGGCATTGATTTAAAACAGCATAAAGACTCTCTGTGAAAACTTATTCCACTGTTTTGTTTTATTAAACATATAAATTTATTCAGTGTTTATCTTAAAAATCCTAATGTTATTTTCTGTGGAATGTAAATCATTTCATGGTATAAGGCAAGGGTAAAGGGTATGGGAGTGTGGTATCTTAAAGTTGGTCACGATTTTTAATTTATAAGTTTGAACACGTTCAATTATTTTTTATCATGGTTTTTGGTTAGTTTTCCGTTCTGTCAATGTTGGTGCCACGTGTTTTTATATATACTCATCTAGATGTAATAGTCATAGGTTTAACAGGATATTTTCCTCAATAGTTGCTTTCCAATTGACTTTGGAAACTTTTTGCGTTCCAATAAGCTGGAATATTTTAGGGTTTCTGTTTTTCCCCTGCCCCGGGTCCCCTTACCTTTACGAACTTGTCTCGGAGGTATTCCAATTGTTTAAGGTTGGTGTATAAAAAAGAAGAACAGTAGAACACTTCACTTGTGCTATTGAGTATTGACTCGAAAAAGAATCATTCCATACGACAGCCGTTCCATGGTATGTGTAGCATGACACGGGTCGTGTGAAATTCAGCGAATACGCCTATCTATTTCTTTATTCATGCGACCCTAGAGCATATACTACTGGAAGCAGCGTGCCAGTGGCCGAAAGTGTAGCAGATGTTTAGAGAGAGAGAGAGAGGTATAGGAGTGTATTTGCTATCTCTCTCTAGCAGCACGCGATTGCATGTTGCTAGAGAGAGATAGCAAATATCCTCCTGTACCTCTTTCTCTCTAAACCTCTGCTACACTATCGGCCACTGAGACGCTGCCCCCCAGTAGTATATGCTCTAAAGTGTGCAAGTTTTGTCTATGGTGCAAGTGTAATTTTGTTTTTTCTTCAGGACACACTCATCTTTTGTTTAAGACAGTCAAAATTTCACAATTTCGCCCCTCTTCTTCAAATACATATAAAACACATTTATAAAACGTACCAAGGGAATTCAGCTCAACATCTAGTTATTTTCAATCTAAAGGATGAATTATTGCTGTCTGCTATGTGGTGTACGCGGGAGCAGAAATGGCCTCCTTGTCATGACGATACGACGCAAAACAGCTGGTTCGTTCGTCGGTTGTCTCACCTATGACACACTGATGAGAACTAATAAGTCTGTGCCTGGTGGGTTAAACTGATGAACGACCCTAGCTGTTGCATCTAATTGTTGCGAGTATAATTCAATGCCGGTAGGGGCGTATAGCCCTCGGAGTAGTTGTTTCTCGCAACACTGACAATTAAAACATTGTTTGTTATGTACCATCTTTGTTTGCATACATTAGCTCAAACTTATCAAACTTAGGAATACACGATAGCGCCACAAAAATNCAACACTAAACGTACCAAGGGAATTCAGCTCAACATCTAGTTATTTTCAATCTTTTAAATAATTCTACCTATGTGGCTGGCATCACTGTTTCCCACTCCCCGTGATCTGTGGACCATAACGTAATTGTCATATGTCATAAATTGGGTAATAATTGAGTTATATGCTTAATTGTTTAAATAAATGATTAATAATACTGTAACTGCAGTAAATGGAATGGATTCGATTATGGAATCACCTAGGAAAAGAATCCGTGCGAATACTGAGTCAAAGGTGACGGTGATTTTAGGGGCACAATGGGGCGATGAAGGCAAAGGAAAAGTTGTAGATATGTTAGCAGTTGACGCTGATGTCGTTTGCCGATGTCAGGTATGTACTTACTTTAATATATAAATTTCTATTTGATTTCATTACTATTATGATAAACGGAAATCCCACATCAATCAATGTCTATATACAGCATGGGGTCTTTTGGACAGTGTTTCAATTGTCTTTAAAGTTGTCGATAAAATCAACGCTGAGAGTTTAAAATATGAAACTCGGGACAAAGTATGATATTGTTGGCTATTCCACTGTAGAAAGTAGGAGTAACCCAAGTCGAGAAAGATTACATGTACAAAATTTTATTCTCATATGAACATTAAAATCAGCTGTATTGATGCAAATACCCAAATGTCATGAAATGTATATTTGGAATAAGCACCAAGGGGGGTAAGATTAATATAAATTAATGTGAATACCACACATATAAATATATATATTTTTTTTGGGACGTTAAAGAGTTTTACATCCTGTATTTTTTTGTTAAAGAGAAAACGGTAATTTACAATTTGCCGGTTCTTTTATAATAATTGGTTTCAATAATTGCCTAACAGTTAACCAATCATTCCTTTACAATGTTGAAAGTTCCAATTGAGTAATTATTCAGACTAGTCGGAGCATATCGGACTCGATTGTAAAATAATTACGTACATCGATATTAGGGATAACATTAGATATCAAATTTATTTATCCTAAATGTTGAAATTTCTCAAAAAACATTTTTACTAAAAAATTTTTTCCAATAAGATTCTTGAATGAATTTCTCGAAATAATATAAAATAACTATTAAATAACCAGTTACCGTTATGAAACTGAACTTCGTCATGATGCTTTTGTATGGAAAGTTCTAGCTACAAACCTAGAAAAAAAATCTAGATGCTGAATATAACTGGTTATTTAACATTCACATCCAATCTAGAAGGTACAAAACCGTTGTCACTCATTTTTTGTGCCGTTATAATTATAGTATACTTGTAGATCTAGTTTAGGCCATCATAAATATAAATATATAATATATAAATAGTACTTTTAAAAGTCGCCGTTGTTAAGTCTCAAAGGGTCAACAAATGAATTATTCATTTACCTCACATCGGCTGAAAATTTGCTGACCTTAGTAAATCGGCCATTTTTTATATATCATACCATCTTGCATATTGGCATATATAGGCTACATAATCCATATTCTTTCTAGATCTAGCAATTGTGCTTTTTTTATGAATTATTAACATTAGTTACAAATGAATTTTATATAAATCGACAACTGTTAGATATAGTTCTAATTTATAAAAAATTCCAGGAATGTCAGTTATGACTCAACTTTTAAACCAAGATTGCTTTCATGTTACACAAATAATATTGTCACGCTTACTATAGAAGCTACGTTGACCTTTAAAATACTAGAAATAACTAGTGAGAAAAATCCAGTAAGACACCGCTTAACGCGTAGGATACGTTCCATCAAAGTAGAGCGTAATGCGAAACAGCGCTAAACGAAGCTATCTTAACATGTAAATAATGGGGTTAGGGGAAGATGGATACAAAATTGGTTAGGTATTAAATTTAATAATTATGTTTTTTTTAATAAAAATAAAACCAAACATTTATTTCTTACAAAAATAAAAACAATATAAACGAATATTACTTATAAAAACAAATAAAATTCTAAGTCAGTCAGATCATTCAGTCTATTCTGTTTCCAATTTTCTGCCTTTTTGTCAAGAAGGCATCTAATGTAGTTTGCGTTTTCCTTTTGCGTTCTGTTAGAAGTTGTTGATAAGTGGATAAAGCATTTATATCACCCCGTCTAGCTTTTGAACTCCTGTCAAAATTTGGATCATTTTCAACAAATTGGTCCATAATTTCAGTTATAGTGGTCAAACTCCTTTTTACAAACGCCATCGAAAGTTTCTATACACTGTTTCGGATAGGTTATGTACGTATTTGGAAACCTAGCGCAGCGCACAATTTCGGGGAATCCCCGTAGCGCTGCGAGCAATTTTGGGGAATCCCCGAGTTGAAATAAAAGAGCGCTAAAGTGAAACAGTGCTAAATGAAACAGCGTTAAGCGGGGTCTTACTGTATATTATCTTCTCGGTCTACTCGCTTGGCTACTAAGAGGGCAAATAATATAAATATAAAGGGGCAAATCAGTTCATTTTAACATTTTATTAAACAAAATACATACTTACACCTCAGAGGGGTTACTTTAATGTGGAGGACAAAATGGTAATTTGGCTCCTGGCCATCGACTGACTCTCAAAGTGGCTCCAGACTGGCCCCAAACTGATCCCGATTCACCAAGTTTCCCGGGTTTAAATATTCTTTACAAAATGCTGAGTGCATTAGAATTAAACAACCCCTAGAAGAATCGGGAACAATGACTGAGTCAGTCCACCAGTTTATAGACAGAGATAAGACGTAGTGCAAGGGTCAGTTCAATATGCATTCAATTTGCAACTGAACACTTTTCGTTGTTTTTAAATCTATCGTGTAATATTGACATGTAATTGATTCTAATTATATTTATTAATTTTGTTCTATGAAATAAGTTAAATTAATATTTGTACCGAAGGTATTTTTGTAAAAATCTCCTAAAGAAATATGTGTCCAAATAAAGTAATGCCATATATCCATACACATTTATCTCAAAGTTCTGGCTATAGTTACAGGGTGATTATTTAAATTTTGAATATTACTCTTCCTCTCTATAAAATACTTGGAATAGACAATATTTTTTAAAAAGTTTTTAAGAAGGCTCCTCATATTAATGTAATATAACATTAATATTGAACTTCTGTGTTGTATTTCATCTCAATAAAACTTTTGACGTGTACCCAATTTTGATAATTATCTATTAATGGATTAAATTAAAATTGGTGAATTTTAATTAAATCTGCAACAATTCATTATTTTGCAGGGTGGGAACAATGCCGGTCACACCGTTGTTATTGATGGAGTTGAATTTGATTTCCATTTATTGCCTAGTGGAATCATACATCCTAAATGCAAATCTATCATAGGTAAGATTGCATAAACTTATCTGTTTTAATCATATTTTTAATTGTTTCGTTGAGTTACATAGAAATCTTCCAGAAATGTTTACCTCACTCTGTATATGTACTACATGTACACATACTCAGTAGGGATTCGCCTAGTTTTCAAAATTAATTATTATTTTGAAAATAAAGGAATGATATATAATTTGTATATTTTTTGCAGGAAATGGAGTCGTTATTCATTTACCCGGTATGTTCGATGAAATAGAAAAAAATGAAAAAAAAGGATTAGAGAACTGGGGTGACCGTTTGATTATTTCTGACAGGGCTCATCTTGTTTTTGATTTTCATCAACAGGTCGATGGGTTACAAGAACAAGAAAATAACCAGAAAGGCCAAGGACTAGGCACCACTAAAAAAGGCATCGGTCCGACCTATTCTTCAAAAGCGACCAGAAATGGAATTCGTGTGGGAGATCTTTTAGGAAGTTTTTCTCAGTTTCAAAAAAAGTAACATAAATTAATTTTCAATTACATATTGAATATTCTTCTGCCTACTTTGCTTAATATGTATTATAGCTTAATATGTACAGCAGCTTTTTTTATAGCAGTTACATTTTAATTCGCTTAACACTAATGCATATATTTTTTTATATGGATGACATATTAGTAACAAGTGTCCTGAAATGTTCAGCATTTTTGTTTGTCCAATTGGAAATTTAGTCTTACGAGGGTCGATCAATAAGTACCCGTGTTAGGAACGAAAAAACAAATTTTTCTCCTTTTCCTTTTCGGAAAAGGATCCTTTTGTCTTCAATCATCGATATCTTGGCGACGAATGGTCGTACACAAAATTGAAGGGCAGTTTCGAAAACTGGAATAAACTTCCTATAACATGTTGCCGCAACTTTTCGGAAAATTTTTTTTTTCATTTACACGAATTTTAAAAAACAGGAAAAAAAGGTAATTTATGGTTTTTTAGAAAATTGATGACTAAATTAGAAATATTCACGAAATGACCAATGTTAAGCATGACTTTTACAGTTCTATATACCCAGAAGAATCCTGTGAAGTTTCATCTTGATCTAGCGAACCGTTTCTTTGTTTCAAACAGTCAAACTTTTCAAAAAAAATGAAAGGATTACGCTTTTTGAGCTTAAACACTTCATAATCGTGATTAAAATGGAAAAAAAAATTTTTTGAGGTTTTCTCACATTTTTACCGCAAATAAAGTGTAAATTGATGAAAAAAAAAAAATTGTTTTCAAAGAAAAAGGGTAGTTTTGAAAAAACTCTTTTTTAAGTGATTACAGACTGCACAAAAATTAATTACAAAGTCTCAAAAAAAACGGTATGAACTTTAATTTTAATTTAATTAAAAGTTGATTAACAGAAGCATAGGACAAAAAAGTCGAATTGTGCTGGAAACAATTGGATTTTGTTTTCTTTAATGTCTGGAAGGTTTTTCAAAAAAAAAAAACAAAAACTTCGGACAATTTCAAAAATTTTTTCGAAAATTTGTCGTTTTTATTTTTTCACCAGTTTAAATGTTATTTGCGTAAAAAATGTGAGAACATTTTTTTGAGATTTTCTCACATTTTTACCGCAAATAAACCTTTAAATTGACGAAAAAAAAAGAATTTTTTTCGGAGAAGAAAATGGGTAGTTTTGAAAAAAACTGTTTTTTAAGTGATTACAGATGCACAAAAATTAATTAGAAATTTGTCTCAAAAAATGGTATGAATCGGAGTCGAAATCTGGTTTGGGTCATCAACTTTAATTTTAATTTAATTAAAAGTTGATGAATAGAAGCATAGGACGAAAAAGTCGAATCGTGCTGCAAACAATTGGATTTTGTTTTCTTCAATGTCTGGAAGGTTTTAAAAAAAAACAAAAACCAGAAAATTTCAAAAATTGTTTCGAATTTCGAAATTTTTTTGTTTTCACCAATTTAAACGTTATTTGCTGTAAAAATGTGAGAAAACCTAAAAAAAATTTTTTTTTTCCATTTTAATCATGATTATAGTGTTTAAGCTCAAAAAACGTGACCCTTTAGTTTTTTACAAGGTTTGACTGTTTGAAACAAAGAAACGGTTCGCTAGATCGAGATGAAACTTCACAGGGTTCTTCTGGGTATATAGAACTGTAAAAATTTTCTTAAATACCATAAATTACCCTTTTTTCCTGTTTTTTAAAATTCGTGTAAAAGATGAAAAAAAAATGTTTTCCGAAAAATTGCGGCAACATGTTATAGGAAGTTTATTCCAGTTTTCGAAACTGCCCTTCAATTTTCTGTGCGACCATTCGTCGCCGAGATATCGATGATTGAAGACAAAAGGATCCTTTTCCATTAAAAGTCTGATATTTCGATGAAAAATGGCTGTATCGAAATTTAAAAAAAATTAAATTGAAGCTGAATAAACAAGCTATCTGGTCCATGCAATGACAACTGAAAAAAAAATTTTTTTGTTGCGATATTTCCTAGAATTGCATGGTAACCGTAGCTCCTAAAAAATTTCGACCGAAAGATCTAAAAACTAGAATCTTAAAGCTGCAAAATACTATTTTTTTTAATTCCCGATACGACCATCTTTCACCTAAATACAGTCTGTCAAAAATCACGGAAAAATTTCGGAAATAATTCTTTTGACCCTTTAATTGTTTGCATTAGTGTATGTGGAAAACGAGTGTGTAAAATGTCACAAACAGTTCGAGAAACATGCAGAGGAGCACTGTCGTGTATGAAAACCATGCTTGTACGAATATGTAATGGAACGGCATCTAATAAATTAGGCACGGTATTTGTTAACAAACTCTAAACATGCAGCACCATGTAAGAGAGGAGGTAACACTTGCACTAAATAAGTTATAACTCGATAACCTCGCACCACATATTCCCTGAAAATCGTTGGACACGTTGGGTTCATTGCCTGCACTGTGCAAATAACCACACTGGACTTGACGTAACTACTGCATTGTAAAAAGTTGATGAATTGATTAAGTGGGACAACACATTGTTGGCCTAAGTTTCGTATATAATAATTCTCGAATAATTTTCTGCAATACATGCCACTCTAGATCACAGGTTGCTTAATGTTTATTGTTTATTTTCGTGGCATCCATTATCTTTTCGGAGGAACCCACATATTTAAAAAATGCTCTGTATTTATTAGTACAAGATTACTGGATTATGTACTAATTAGTTGTAATAAAAAAGACTAAAATAATTTAAAGGCAAATTTATAACAGTGCAATAAAAGTACTAAAGAAATTTTAAGTAAAATCTTCAGTACTTCGTCGCTATTAATATAGAAATCATAAGTTTCATGACGGTTCATTAAATGCATATTTTTAGATTCAGTTGAATTCTTCCTCTGTTCAAAACAAGTTAAAGATGTACCATATCGTCTAAAGATCTAGAGCTTATTATGGTGGATGAAAAGTTTTTTTTTATTCTTAGGAAATTACTTTACTAGTGCTTTGAAATATAGCAAGAGGCCGCATGGTGCCATGTCTTAACTTAGGTTGTAGATATAGAGTATTCAGAAAAACTAATCAGCTGTGAAAATGAATGCTTTTAGGCTTATTATGTGCGATGGTAAGTTTTTGATCGTATTTTTGGAAATTATAATTTTATTACGATGCAAAGTCAATCATTAAAGAATTGGGTTTGGGGTGTTTGTTCTAAAATAATTCTAAGCAAATTTTAACTGTAAATTGTATTGTTGTCTGTTGTTGAAAAGCTGGTACTAATTTTTGTGTAGTCGTTAAATTGAAATAAAAGCAAAAAGTATTTGAATATCAGTGGTAAAACATACGAAAATAAGAAGCTGAATAGTAATATTATCTATAATAGTGCTCAAACAGAAATAGTTGACATATGGGGGCATTCTACGCCAGATCGACCACTTTTAAACCTGACCCCTTTCGATTTGGCTGAAACTTTTTTATTATTTTCTACCCCATTGAAAACCTCTGAATTTTTTCACCCAACTCAACAAAACTTAAGAATTTTTGAAAAAAATAGCTTTTTTTAAAATAACCATAACTTTTTCAAAAATTGAGTTATCGGGACGTTTTTATTTTTCAAAATTTTTATTTTTAAATGTACTTTTTGAAAAAAAATTTAGATCAAAATTATCTGGACCTATCATCACTGTTTTTTTTTCAATTTTTAAAAAAAAAACGAGTTTCTCGGTTCCCATTTTTGAAAATTTTATTTTTTCTTATAAAAAACTGACATTTTTTATAAATCCTCAAATTTTTTCAGTGGTATTTTTTTGTTTCCTATATTTTTTATTGATTGAAAATTTTTTTTTTCAAATTTAGCTTATTTCAACCACTTGAAAATTTTTGAAAATGAAAAAATTTATGCCATGCAGCGATTAATGACAATTTCAAAAAGTCAAAAGAGGATGGTTTCAAAAAGATTTATGATAACTTTTTTTTCATTCTTTGTTTTTGGATGTAATTTTCGAAAAAAAAAATACAAAAAAATTATTCAAAACTATCTATTTTTTCTTTACTTTAAAAAAAAAAATCAAAATTTTTTTCATGTTTACCACTTTCGATTATTTCTTTCATATATTTTTTTTCGATTTTGGGATTCTATATACATTTTAAAAATTTTTCAAAATGGCGTTGAGAATAAGCTAAATTTCAAAAAAAAAATTTTCAATCAATAAAAAAAATAGAAGACGAAAAAACACCATTGAAAAAAATTTGAGGATTTATAAAAAATGTCAGTTTTTTTATAAGAAAAAAAAAATTTCAAAAATGGTAAATCTTGAAATTTTCGTTTTTTTTTTTCGAAAATTGAAAAAAAAAAGATAGGTCCAAATAATTTTGATATATTTTTTTTTTCAAAGAGTACATTTAAAAACAGAAATTAAAAAACGGCTATTTTTTCAAAAATTCATCTTTTTTTGAGTTGGGTGAAAAAAATTGAAAAAATTCTCAGGTTTTCAATGGGGTAGAAAACAATAAAAAAGTTTGAGCCAAATCAAAAGGGATTAGGGTTAAAAGTGGTCAATTTGGCGTGGAATGCCCCATATACATTATTACTGGTATATTTTAATCTGACAAAAAGTGAAAGAAAAGGAATATTCATTTTAGAACCCCTTTGTAATATACAGGGTGTCAAAATTAAATTTTTATTAATAACTGCACATACTTTTACCTTACACCGACGCTTCTTTTGTCTTTTGAGAGGAAAAAAATGGAAGTGTGAATGGAGGAAACAAAATAAAGCGAAAATATGAGAGTTAAAGTAAATACATGTTTTATTAACTTTTCTGCACGTGTTTATGGTTTGAGGATATTGAGGATAGTATTATGTCCATTGGTTATGAAAAAATGTATTTTGCACATACATATACAACCCGGTTTGAGATCGCACCATAGAGAACTCCATTTTAATTTTTTTATTTCAAATTTCATTTCAATTTTTTCAATATGAAAGTTTTCCTAAAAGAATGGTGTGAATCCCATGCCTCATTATCAAAATATCGCCACTTTAATTTTTGCCAGCTTCCACTGATAATAAGAAGATGTCAAAAATCTTTCTAGGTTTCAAGATTTGGCTAATATGTACCAGAGAATGTTTCCAACGTTAAGAGTTGATGTTGAAAAGGAGCTGATAAGGTATAAGGGATATGCAGAGAAAATTAAACCGTACGTTCGCGATACAGTTTCCTTTCTTGACAAAGCTATTAAGGAAGGGAGAAAAGTACTTGTGGAAGGAGCTAATGCTGCTATGTTAGATATAGATTTCGGTGAGTATATTTTTAATATTCTTCATTCTTTTGATGTCAGTATATACTTTCACTTTTCGTCTAGCCTCTCGTGTCTCTTTTATTTGCAATTTAAGGAGGATCGAGTGCTACGACAGAGTGCTTCGTATTATTGAGATATATTATTTTTGCAATGCAAAACCAAATTCTGTGAATTATTTATCGATTTGTTTTTGTTTTTAATTAATGCCAAAAATTTTAATGTTTAACATAGGTTCTTATGAGTAATGCTATGATGCATACCCTTATAATCGAATTACGGGTGAAAAAATGCAAATAGTAAGACTGAAAAAATATAGACATTTACTTGAGTCATTAATTAATAGATGAGAGAAAGAAAAAAAGTAGGTTACTGTACATTTCACAGAGAAATAAATTATCAAACTTGTATTGTTGTCTGTTGTAACCCCAGTCTGCTCGTAGGCATAACACTTTAAAACTGATGCCTTCCTAAAACGACTAATCGTTTCTAGGTACATACCCATATGTGACGTCTTCCAACTGCAGCGTGGGTGGTGTATGTACCGGGCTTGGCATTTCACCACATAGAATTGGTGAAGTAATTGGAGTCGTCAAAGCGTATACAACTAGAGTCGGCGACGGGCCATTTCCCACTGAACTTCATGATGTAAGTCAAAAAATTTTTAGCAAGACTTGCCTTGGTTCAAAATAAGTGCTTATTAAACTTCATATATATCATTTACAATTTAAGAATTTTAAAGATATTGATCTGAAATATATAAAAGCATAGGAGATATTTCCTCTTCTGATTAGATTTAAAATAAAACCTTTTTATCGTCAATAAATAACCATTATTTTAATAGTTCATGACATTATTACGACACCATACAAGATATATACGGTCTGTTTGTGAAACCAATCGTGGGTCATTCACATTTGTGTGAGGCAAGGAAAAGTTTTCGCCTGGAATAATTTCTCACTGAAATATTGAAACGGGGTTAATTTTGGCTGTGAAGGGAGCACACATTTTTTCTAAATTATGTCACGACAGGTGGATTGATATTATAGTTCACCTAAACTACGTAGATGTTAGAAGTCGTTGTCACTGAGATTCATAAACTAAACATAGTGCTTTAAAAAGATATTAAACTGGAATATATTTCCAAACATCGACTTGAAATGATTTTAACCAATATTTCAAATCAGATCAGCGAATGTTTTTATTTAATTTTTTATCATGTACATTTTAGAAAGCAGCAATAGTAATTATTTTAAAACATAACATTTCAGATTAGCGTTCTGGGGAATACATACTTATAGGCTATTGATTATGTCATATGGTATAGAACTACAACGTTGATGGGTTTTTATTGCATGAATCGTTCAAATAGTTATTTAGAATGAAAAAACCGTGGAGTGCTATTAAATTAGAAGGTGGAAATTGGAGATAAGGGTGAAAATGCACCCCTTTCAGTTTTTTAATTGAAAACGAAGCAAAATTTCGGTATAGTTCATAGGAAAAATTATTTAGAGAATTGAATTTTCCATCAAAATAGCTTATTTAAAAAATTTAAAAGGAAAATTTTATGCAAAATAATCGTTAATAAACAATTTGAAAAAAAGCAAAATATTGGATTTTCTGATTTTTTTTTTACTTTTTTGCCTCTAGTTTTTCTTTTAGTAAATATAGATATAGGCATTGCTTCATAGAAAAAAAGTAGATAAAATTTCCTTCAAAACGAGGTTATAGAGTATTTTTGGTTGGAAAATTGACTGATATATGGCCGCTCAAACTTAGCCAATTTTTCAATTTTCGTCGCATTTATCCTTATACGTTTTAATTCTTATTTTTTGCAAGAAAGGAAGTACTCGTTGAAGGATTTTCATCACATGACTTGTTCGAAGGGTCATTAAAAATGAAAAAACCGCGGAATGGCTTTTTTATAGGGTTGAAATTGAAGAATTTTTTTATATATAGCAGGAATACGAAGCAAAATTTCGGTAGGTATAGTTCATAGGAAAAAAAAATCCAAATTTTGATTTTTGAGGTGGGAAGTAGCTGTACATATACAGGGTGACATAGAAAAAAGTACATTGCATAGTGTCATAGAATAGGGGACACTAAAACAAGAAAAAAAGTTCCTATGAACATGGGTCCGCAAGGCCTTCGGTTAAAGGATACGGGGTGTTGAATTTTAATTTTTTTTATTTGCAAAAACAATGATAAATACTTCAACAATTAAATTTTAATGGTATGATGAAAAATATGATTAATTAAAACAAAACATTAAGTTTTTAGAAGATGTTCAAATTGTTGCCCTTGTACTTCAATACATTTTTCCATTCTTCTTCTTAATGATTGACGGCATCTTTGAAATATTCCTAGGTTATTATGAAATCTATCTGCCGATTCCATAATTCTTATCCATAATTGTTCTTCGTTATGTATTTCTACAGCATAAACTTCATTTTTCATAAATCATACCACATTTTATCCATTTCTTGCGTCTCTGGCTAAAGAAATTCAAAAAAAAAACCCAAACAAAAATAAAATTCAACACCCCGTATCTTTTAACCCAAGGGTCGGCAACTAGCGGACCGCGGTCCAGGTCCGGACCGCGGAAGGTAAAATACTGGACCGCCAAAATTTTTTTGAAAATATAAATTACTCAAATAAATGATTTAAAAAATGTTTTTTTACATTTAAGTGCCAACCTTATCATTTCTTCTAGTATTTTACAATTATGTGTGTTTTGAGTTCTTAATGGTTAGTAAGCAGATTAAATTTGAGTTCAAATGAAAATTTGTAAGAAATATGAATTTTTTTTCTGGACCTCGTTAAAAATTTTTAAAAGTATCCGGACCCCACCTAAAATTACTTGCCGACCCCTG